AATTCAAACTGCGACTGATAAAATAAAACCGAACGAGCTATATAATCACAATATCCATATAATATTATAAAATATAATCTCAAAATTAAGATTCGATAAATAAAATAATCTGAGAAATTCTATAAATCGAACGGGGCGTTACAGTAGAATACCTTTGATGTAGTTCGTCTGAACACCACAATCTAATGGGCAGATAGATTTGGCCTTTATTCGATTCTAATCGAAAGTTCAACACAAAGTTTGATCACACGGCAGCTAGGTCTCGGGGTTGAGTTGCAGCGGCTTGATCGCGGGCCTCGATTGCTGGAAGGTCACGAGCTTCAGGCGTGCGTCTGGTCGCGGTCGGCAGCAGGTGCGCGTCGAGCGCTGGGCGTGACACACATCTCACGAACGGGCGCTTCTGGTCGCTGGGATGACGCGCGCGAGCAGGGTAGCACTCCTACGCCTTGGCAGATTGGGCGCTGGCGTCTGGCTCTACGCGTGCATGTGCGGCAAGGATACATGGGCACACACGGAATGATGCGCGCGTACTCCTTGCACACTGAGAACGGACGACGAGCAACAGGTGCAATCGGCGAGCAAGTGGACGTCGCGGTGCGTCGCTGCTGATGCGCAGTAGAGTCTGACTGTACGCGGTTGGCGCCGCTGGCATGCGGCTAGGCGCTGGCGGCTTCCGGCGACTTTGGGCTGAAATTTGATACTTGAACACCAAGTATCCAGAGTTGCACGTATAACGAAGATTCAAACAATTGCGGAAGCTGTTTTCACGAAGAATTGAAACTTCAGGAGAGCGTCCCACTCTCCCTTCAGATCTCTTTCATTAATGTGAATAACTCATACATCATTCAAGGATTTACAGTATAGACTCTCTCTACATTCTACTTGAATAATTATCTACACAACTACTTATCTGACCACAACTTCCGTGTGGATATTCTAGTTTGAATCCCTCTAACTAGATCAGAATTAACCTCCGAACATTCTGTTACAAAGAAAAATTGTGTTTTGAATATCTCTTTTTCACTCAAGGAAAGAAAACATAAAACTCAAAGAAATTCCAGCCAAAAAGCTCGTCATCAACTCTGGTCTCGTCCTCCTTTTATCTTCAGCATCCTTTGGTAAGTCTTTACACCCAAGACATATACGCATAAGGAAAGTGGATCCCGTTATCTTCTTCCTCTTCGATTATGGAAAGAGAATCTTGCCTTCAATCTTCTAGACCTGCCAAGATGTAAATACAAATAATTAGCCAATTTGACTTAAATGAAAACAGGACTCATTTATACCAAAAATAAACTTCCCTTAAATACTCCCGCATATTTCTGGACTCTGTGGTCATCAGAAGGTTCATCGATTTACTGCCAATATCCTGAACTTACAATCTCCCACTTTGGCAGATAAATCGAAAACCATTTCCTTGAACCTGCATGATGAATTACATATCCTGTACTAGATTTTAACAACCACACAAATGACTATCACATCATATAAGTGTTGTTCATAAGAACAACTCGAATAATTGAATAAAGGAAACAGATCGCAAGATATTAATAGCAAAAGGAGTTCATCACATGCAAGAAGAAGAAAAGACAGAAAGAAAGGAGTTCAGCAAACATAACAAAAGGTTTTAACACAAATAATTATCCAGCTGAGGGATGGCTATGCAGATTCTTCCTAATCAGATTCCTCCCCTGAACCTTCTTCAGTGCCATCCTCAGTCTCTTCCTCTAAGCCTGCTTCCTCTTCCTCATTCTCAGCATCAGACCCAACTTCTTCATCCTCTTCTTCATCAGAACCTTCATATTCTTCCACAACTTTCTCCTTTCCTGTTTTCTTGGCAGCAATGACCTTCTCTTTCCCTTTTTGAGTAGCAGCAGCAACAAGCACCTTTTTTCTTCTTTCCTTCAGCAGCCAATGATTTCTTCTCCCCCTTAGCAAGAGCTTTCTTCTTTGCAGCAACCATAAAAACATCCTTCTTTTTCTCCACCTTTTTCGATTTAGAGACTAAAGGGGTACGAGACCTCAAGGCACCCAGAACCTCTTTGTAGTACCTTCGCTGATCAGCCAATTACTTTTAAAGTCCAACGAAAATTGCCACTTGCTGATTTAAAATACCGTTAAGCTGTGAAGGTACATCAGAGTCCTTAACAAGAGAAGGACGAGGAGGAGCAATCTTAACACCGGCAAGGGCAAGAGGTTTGTTAACAGGGGCATAATTATCACCAAGGCGAGGATCCATTTTCACACCAGCCTCGAAGAGAATTGCACATATGGTAGATGGGTACAACAACAACTTATGAGGCTTAGAGATTTCCGCGAAGCCCACAACAACATCAAAGATCACAGAACCAACATCAAATGGGATACCATTCAGAACACGGTAGATAACAGGAGCTTGCGTAGGGGTGAAAAACTGCTTGTGAGTGGTAGGCGTCCAGTTCGATGTTCCTATTTCTGTAGAGCATTGGCAGACGGAGTTAGAATTTTCACAAAGATTCCCGGACCAAGCCATTTAGTTAGTTGTCCACCGGTCAAGGTGCGAGAAACTTATCAAGACCATCAGTTAGAGGTCCAAGAGAGGAACCTTCAGCTAAGGCAAGTATAGTTTTCACCACAGACGGAGAGAAATCTATCACACTATTACGCACAAACACCTTCTGAAACTTCATTGAGGATGGATCAGATACAGAGGTAGTCAGGTTCGAAAAAAAATTCACCAACAAGCAGGGGACAATACTTCCCAACAGACGTGATGGAATCCTCAAGACCCACTTTCTGCAGAAGTTCAAGTAACCCAAGTTGTTCATAATGTTCGCTAACAATCGTCCGCTCAGGATGAAACGTCATTTGAGAAAAGATGGTAGAAAAACGAGTTTCAGCCAAAGGAGAATAAAACTGACGGGAGAAAGCATTACCAACAGTAAGAGGACTGTCTGGACCATCACCCTCGACTTCAACAACGATTTTTCCTTTCTCAGGAGGAGAAAGTTCCTCGTTTGCAGCATGTTTGTCGTCTGATTTCTCAGTTTCAGCAACATAGTTGGCAACCTCCCGTTCAACAGAATCAACATCTGAATCCAGAGCTGACTCTCCCCCAGATTTTGTGAGAGAAGGAGTACCAGCAACAGGTTCAGGAAGATGAACGACCTTCTTTGCCTTTTTCGTTTTTGGTGCAGCAATTGCGGGGACCTTCTTGCGCTTCTTTGGAGATTTGACGACAGAGGGAGAACCTTTTCCTCCTTTGTTACTGGGTTCGGCAACTTCAGGTTGAGAAACCTTCGTCGTTGAGGTTTATTTCGGGCTTGGAGAAACCCTAGTTGTGGATTTAACAGGAGGTTGAATGTCCTCGGTTGCCATGGTTGAGGGATTTGGATCTGGTGGAGTTTCGGAACTTTGGCTTTGACGAGATGAGCGCCGAGATGGAGAAGGAACATCCTTTTTGGGCTTCACGGTTCCCTGCTTGGATTTTGGCATGATAACAAAACCAATTTCTCACAAGTATAGAATGTTCGAAGATTTTGGAGAAGGAAGATAATTCGATGATTGTAGGAGATAGACATAAGAGGTGGTAAAGAGATATAGGGAGCCGAGATTGCGGTTATCGAGATATGTGATAAGATGGTTCAGCTTAAAATTTGAATTTCAAATAAATAAAACTGCTTGACACTTAATGCACAAGAAACCGTTCCCTCCAAACAGATTTCTTACCAAAATTAATAAACACAGCTACCATATATAACGATAGAAGTTTCAGACAAAAATATCATCCAAATCATGTACCAAAAAAAATTTTACGCTCAAGATCGAAACTATATACCATGAGAAAATTTGGATGCACATACCCTAGAATTTTCAGTTCACGCAATATTAAAAAGATCCATTAATTGATTAACCCACAAATCTTTCTAAATCAATTTGAGGCAAGCTCGACACTGTCAAGATGATGAGAAAATAAATTCTCTTTGTGCAAAACTCAACACTTATTGCTCCCACTTTTACACAACACGGAATTATATAAGTTTGTTCATCACTTTCTCTTAGCAAAAAATGAAATTTTCGTTCGCAATTCAGCCCCAATACTAATGATGAACTTACTCCGTTCTATGAACTTCCACACAAATTCACTTGCTAACATTAACTATACGCCAATGTCAAGCCCATTACTTGAGGTGTGAATCATCCCGCAAAAAGTTTTAATTTTGAACAATTTGAGAAGATATCAAGATGGCCAGCCTTATTTCACTAGAGGACGTTCATTCTTAGAATGTTCACCTGTAGCTATCACACCTCGATTATTGTTAAGAACATAACTCGTTTCACATGTGATCAAGGAAACACCTCATGTGATAGTTACTCGATGCCTATTTTCACGAGAGCAGCTCTTACAAGTATATTAAAATGGTCATCATGACGAGCTCTTACAAACTGACCAGTTAAAATTCATAGACCATCAATCAACAAACTCAACAATAATCGATCAGAGAAAAATTCCAGGGATGAACCTACATACTAAAATGCCTAAAATGCAGAAGAGATCCTATATGCAATAGACACGATATACATATAGATATATATATATATATATAGAAATGCAACTGACACAATGCACATATATTATATAGCACACATTCCTAAAGATTTTCTCAGTTGCAAAAATCATTTCGAATCAAGAGCTTTTGTAAAAATATCAGCAAGCTGATCATCTGTAGGTACATGATCCAACACAATAATCCCATCTTCTACCAAATTACGAATAAAATGATAACGAATGTCAATATGTTTGGTACGTGAGTGTTGGATAGGATTTTTCGAAATATTTATAGCACTAGTGTTGTCACAGAAAGGTAATATTTCCAGAGGTGTTGCAAATGGATCTGCCGGTTCAGCAATACTAGGGTGGATAGCCGACTTTTCATATTTTTCATGCTTTTATTCAGACAAAAGGTTTACTTGTTACTAATTTAGTCTAGTCGAAGACCAATTAGTTGATTCCAAAAAACAAAGAAGTTGAGTCGAATGAACGTTCATACCATACTCGGATAAAATCTGTTTCATCCATACCAACTGTGAACAGCAGCTTCCAGCGGCAATGTACTCGGCCTCAGTAGTAGAAAGGGAGATGCAGTTTTGTTTCTTGCAAAACCAAGATACCAAGTTTGATCCTATGTAAAAACACCCACCAGAGGTGCTTTTTCGATCATTAGCCCAGTCAGCGTCACAATAACCTGCAAGATGTAAGTTCGTATCAGCAGAGTAGAATAGACCATACTTTGTTGTACCTCCAATGTACTTAATGATATTCTTGACTGCTTTTATATGTGATTCCTTGGGGGCAGCCTGATACCTGGCACACAATCCAACACTAAAGCAAATGTCAGGTCTACTAGCAGTGAGGTATAGAAGACTACCAATCATACTTCTGTACAGAGTTTGATCAACAGATGTACCTTCATCATCTTTGGACACTTTCACATGAGTGCCCATGGGAGTTTGAGGACTTTTAGCATTTTCAAGACCAAACTTTTTAACAAGGTTTTTTGCATATTTACCCTGATGCAAGGAAATACCATCTTTACCTTGGTTTACCTGAAGTCCAAGGAAGTATGAAAGTTCACCTACGAGACTCATCTTGAATTCAGACGACATAAGATTAACAAAGTGATTGACCAGCTTCTTGGATGTTGATCCAAAGATGATGTCGTCGATGTAGATTTGAATAGCCAATAGGTCCTCATTCATTCGAAGAGCAAAGAATGTCTGATCTACTCCTCCTCTCTTGAATCCCTTTTCCAGAAGGTACATGGTAAGGCGTTCATACCACGCACGTGGCGCTTGCTTTAATCCGTACAATGCTTTCTTAAGTCTATAGACATAATTCGGATTCTTGGGATCTTTGAACCCTTTTGGCTGCTTTAAGTATGCCTCTTCATGTAATATCCCATTTAGGAAGGCATACTTCACGTCCATCTGGTAAAAAATGAACGTCATTAGACAAGCAATAGATAGAAATATGCGTACATATTCGAGTCTAGCAACGGGGGCAAAGGTTTCATCGAAATCAATCCCTTGAGTCTGAGTGTAGCCTTGAGCAACCAGTCTCGCCTTGTTACGTGTCACATTCCCGAACTCATCAGTTTTGTTCTTGAAGGTCCACTTTGTTCTGATAATATTTCCCGATGAAGGTTCAGGAACTAACTCCAGACATCGTTTCTAGTGAATTGCTCTAGTTCTTCCTGCATGGCTAAGATCCAACACCCATCTTTCAGAGCTTCTTTAGCATTCTTGGGTTCAATCAATGAGGTGTTGAAGGCATAATGAAAAACACCCATAAGTTCTTTGACTGACGTCTTCGAGTTTCTGGTTACTCTCTCGTTGATGTCACCAATGACTTGCTCGGATGGATGGTCTTTCTGAACCCTTAAAGGAGGATCACGCCTAGGTGGCACTAAACCTTCTTGAGTCGCAGGAACAATGTAGTCAGTTGACGTTTCAGCATCCCCAACTGAAGGTTCAGCCGTCTCCTTGTCAGCAGAAATATTAACATCATGAGTATCCTGCAATGTCTCAACATTTCCAAACTGATTAAAAGACACAAAAGAATTAAGTTGGGAATTTTTTTCATCAAAGATTATGTTGATGGACTCAATTACAGTGGAGGTACTTATGTTGCAAACACGGTACGCTCGACTATTGTTGGAGTAACCAAGAAAGAATCCAATATCCGCTTTTGCATCAAACTCCCCAAGTTGTACACGATCATTATAGATAAAACATTTACACCCAAAAATATGCAAGTGACTGTGGTTAGGACTCTTACCTTTCCAGAGTTCATACGAAGTCAGACCAATACCTCGACGAAGGTACACTCGATTCATGAGGTAGCATGCTGTATTGACTGCCTCAGCCCACCATCTAGAAGGAATTTTTTTGGAGTTTAACATGACTCTGGCCATTTCTTGTAGAGTACAATTCTTCCTTTCAACAACTCCATTTTGCTGTGGAGTTTTAGTAGCTGAGAACTCGTGACAAATACCCAGAGAATCACAAAATTCGGCAAACTCAAAATTTTCAAATTCTCTTCCATGATCACTTCAAATACTTATTATGGGAAAGCCTTTCTCAGTTTGAACCTTCAAACAAAGTGACTTAAAGGCAGAGAATGTGTCAGACTTTTCACGCAAGAAATCAACCCAAGTATATCGAGAGAAATCATCAACGCACACAAAAATATATTTTTTACCTTGATAGCTTTCTACCTGAATGGGACCCATGAGATCCATGTGAAGAATCTCTAGGATCTGTTTAGAAGCAATGTGGTTCAGTGACTTGTGGGATGTCCTCGTTTGCTTACCTAGTTGACAAGGTTCGCAAATTGGCTGGTCCTTCATAGCAATCTTTGGGACACCCCTGACTACACCTGCATTGGTCAATTTGACAAGGTGAGAGTATCCAATATGCCTTAAGCGTTGATGCTAGATTTCAGGTTCGCTCACATTTGAGAAAAGGCATTTTTCATTAAAATCAACAAGATAACAGTTATCCGTTGAACGAGAACCTGTAAGTACACAAGAACCTCCATTGCCTTTCACATAACACTTATCACATGAGAAACTGACACTAAGGCCTTTATCACAGAGTTGACTCACACTCAAAAGATTTGCCTTTAGTTCATCAAAAAGTAACACATCAGTTAATTTAGGTAACACACCCAAATTTAAACATCCTGTTCCAATAACCTTATTGCTCACACCGTCACCGAACGTGACTTCCCCATTTGAACCGGACTGAATGTTCATCAAGTAGGAAGGTTCCCCAAGCATGTATCTAGAGCAGCCGCTGTCCAGATACCATTTACCTTTCAAGGAAGTCCTGAGAGACAGAACATAGGCAAAACAGTTGAAGGATTTCTTAGCAACCCACACTTGATGAGTTTTGGCACGGTTATTTGGGAGGGTTCTGGCATGAACCTTCACTGGAATGCCAGACCAATTCCAACCCCTAACATTATCTGTACAAAGATCATGCTGCATCTTATAAAATTTGGGTCGTATGTGACCAGTTACACCACAGTAATGACAAATAGGAACAAAGTTATGGTGAGTTTTACTAACCGATTTCTGCATAGGAGAATGAACCTTCAAAGGAGAGTTTGGAGAGAAAGATTTACTTACAGTGCTTTCGACAAACCTGTCAAATACGTTTCTAGAAGGTTTCTATACAGGTTCATACCTCTAATTCCAGGTTTGTCTCCAAAGCCAAGGCCACTATGTTTTGAATTAGAAGTTCCAGGTGAGGATTCAGGATTGTTCTCCTTACCTGTGTACCCTATTCCAGTAAGATCTCCATGTTGTTTCCCTATGGAAAGAAGTTCATTCAGATTTGTTTCTCCCTTGTTCAGTTTTCGAACGACATATGCAGTTCAGTTTAACTCAGCAGCATTTGCTTCCAGTTTATCAGCCGATCAGTTTCGGTTTTCAGCAACATGATTTCCCGGATCCATTCCGCAAGAAGCTTCTGAGTGGAAAATAGTTCGGATCTCAAGCATTCAATGGTATGAGCATTTTCCAGTCCATCTTGCTTAGCAAGCTTGACACTGCTCTCAAGGATGCTGGTTCGAGCCTTTGCAGTATCCAGTTCACAATCTTTAGCAACAGTGGAAGAAGATGCTTGTTCGTTCAACACCCTGTTTGCTCTTGAGAGTCTGAATACTTCGTTTTGAAGCTTCTATAAGGCTTCAGATGCTTGAGCACACTTTTCCATGGCAAGTAAGTGTACAGGATCAATGCACACATTTTGATCTGCTTCATCTTCAAATGCTTCAGTTTCTTTTAAAATTTCTTCAAACTTGGTCGGAACGTGAGAAGTGGTGAGACACATGAACTTCTTGACTGAGGTATGAATTGCCATGTTGCTCGTGTGTGAAGGAGGTTCGTTTGTGCCTTCTTTAGCTGAATCTTCCCAGGTTGCCTTCAGAGACTTGTTCTTCTTCTTAAGGTTAGCACACTCATACTGAAAGTATCAAAAGCCTCGACACTCCCTGCATTGATTCTTCTCAACTCGTTGTGATTCGGGTTTTGTGAGAGACATACTACTTTTCTTGTCCTGCACTATATTCTTGCTGAAATTGTTGCCCTTTTTTCCAGCAAATTTATTCTTGTACAGCTTTTGACTCAACTTTCCATAGTTTCGCGCAATTAGCGCTAGTGCTTCTTTTAGCTCACTTTTGTCTGCCAACGGACCTTCATCATCATCGCTTTCTTCTCTCTCCTCGACTACAGTAGCTTTGAGAGCTAAGCCCTTACTTTTGACTTTGTCATAATTATTGTTGATTTAAAACAACCTGAGCTCTCCGAGAAGTTCATCAACATCCAGAGATGCCACTCTTTGAAAACTCTCAAGAGCTGTGATTTTCTCTCTAAACCTGGGAACGACAGTTCTTATGATCTTTTGCACTGGACGCTTCTCAGAAATTTCTTCTCCAGGCATCATACTTTTATTTACCAAATCACAGAATCTAGCATAATATACGTCAATTGTCTCTTCATCCCTCATTTTGATCTTTCACAGTCTTACAATGAACTATCATTTTGTGTCTTGTCTGATCTACTGCCATCATAATCGCATACAAGGCACGATAGTTGGCTTCTTCTTGAAGCTTCTCAGCATCTGTCCAGTTGTCCTTAGGTTTAGGAACCATGACTTTCGTTATTTCGTTTCCTTGATCAGGTGCTTGTGGCATGACTGGATGCTCCCAGCCATTTTCAACACTTTCCCACAAACCTTTTCCAAGCGATCTTAGAAAAATTGTCATCATAGACTTCCAATACAAGTAGTTCGACCGTCCAATTGCGGAGGCCTAGACATCGATCCACTTTCTTGATTCATGATTTGATAGTAACACAGGTCCTTAAATCTTTTGTAATGAAGACGAAAACCCGCTCTGGTGCCAATTGAAATTTGATACTGTAACACCAACTATCCAGAGTTGCACGTAAATAGAACAAACAGGCAGTAACGAAGATTTAAACAATTGCGGAAGCTGTTTTCACTAAGAATTGAACCTTCAGGAGAGCGTCCCACTCTCCCTTCAGATCTCTTTCATTGATGTGAATAACTCATACATCATTCAAGGATTTACAGTATAGACTTCCTCTACACTCTACTTGAATAATGATCTACACAACTACTTATCTGACCACAACTCCCTTGTGGATTTTCTAGTTCGAATCCCTCTAACTAGATCATAATGAACCTCCGAACATTCTGTTACAAAGAAAAACTGTGTTCTGAATATCTCTTTTTCACTCGAGAAAAAAAAACATGAAACTCAAAGAAATTCCAGCCAAAAAGCTCGTCCTCAACTTTTGCCTCGTCCTCCTTTTATCTTCAGCATCCTTTGGTAAGTCTTTACTCCCA